GCTAGTGCTGGTCGAGAGTTCCCGACTCGGGAACCGAGAGTCTCGACCATCACTACTATATGCGATATTGAGAGACAGGCCCGTAACCAAAATTTTTTTCGGAGAAGGGGGGGTGGGAGATTTCGCCACCCCCTACCTTCCCCCCCTACCCCTTGGTTACAGGCCTGTTGAGAGAGATAGATATATATGTATGGTCGCAATCCAAATTAAATTTTTGTCAATCTGGCTGGCCAACTGCGACGTACATATGTAAGTTTTCTTTAATTATCATCCCATATTTTATTTAAATTTAAAATATTTATTTTACCTTAAATTTATTCAATTTTCTACCAGAACTGCCTAATACATCTTTAAAATTTTGATTTTCATTTTCATAATATTTAATTATGTCGTCCTGTATTTCCTTTGCTAAATCATTTCGAAATTTTTTCTCATTTGGAAAAAATTCATTTTGAATTTTGTTAATTTCAATTATTTTTAATTTCCTATAAAAATAAAAGTTTTATATCCATTTTAAAATAGTTTTAAAATCCGGAGAAGCCCAAAACCTTACTCTAAACTTTTTTACTCCAATATTCTCGCGAGTCTATTTTACTACAGGGATCTAACCTATTTTAACGGTTAACGGCTGGGCACATTACCACAAGGTTCTAACTAATTTTACGGCTGAGCATATTTGCGTTTTAGCATAATTTTTGATCTTAAATGACGTTATGCGTTATTTTTAGAATTGGAAAATGGCATTTTTGTGGCTCAGCCCAGATTATAAACAGATAATATAAACTTTTCATTAATTGAATTATTTTGAGAAATTTCCTTCAATTTTCTTTTGCTTCCACTAATATTTGCCGATGCTTCTTCACTTGTTTTTTCAAAATTTTTTATTATCAAAGGTTTTTTATTATTGGATGAATTTTGGTTGGGAACTTAAAATTAATTTTATTATTGATAATCTTTAATAATTTTTACGAGAATCCTCTCCAGGCGTAGAAAGCACTTTATTTATTAAAAACAGCAATAATAATAATAAATTGATTAACATGTTTTTTTTTAAATTTTATTTTAAAAATAATAATATTTATTTAAATTTTTAATTATGGCGGTAGATTTTAAAGTAAAATTATAAAATATTTATTTCATAATTCTTGCATCATTATTAATTTTATAGACAGGCTAAAAAATTAAAAATAAATTTAAAAAGGTATGTACTTTTATCTTTGAAATTTTATAGGATTTTAAAAGAAGCTTTTCAATGAAATGTAAATACTAGTGTTCGGCAAATGACCTTTTCCGGTATTCGGTATCGGTATACCGAAAAAATACCGATACCGAAAAATACCGTTTTTTTCAAAATTTGACCGGTACGGTATCGGTATCGGTATACCGGAAAAATACCGATACCGGAAAATACCGTCGCAACATTTTCGGTATACCGGCCGGTATTCGGTATTTTTTAAAAAATTTTATAAAATTTTTTAAATTTTATTTTTAAAATTTTAACAATAAATCTTAACAATCTCAAGGACTTGAGCTTCTTCTAATCGATCATAGGCAAGATTTGAATCAGCAAAATGTCCAACAGTTGCTCGATATTTAGCTAATTGAAAAATACAATGCCCCCTCCATTAGAATACCCTGCTTTAATAGTATGTCCCCTGGAGGATGATTGAAAATTACTATGCCCCCACCATTAGAATACCCTCCTTTAATAGAATGCCCCTGTAGGATAATTGAACAATGTCCCCTCTAATAGAATGTCCCTATAATCCTTTTTCAGCGCCGCAGGCGAAAATTTTGAGAATTTTGGAAGACCAGAAGACAGATTTCTTCCTTTTTCAGCGCCGCAGGCGAAAATTTTGAGAATTTCACAAATACCGAAATACCGGAAAATACCGCGGTATTTTTTCGAGGACCGGTACGGTATCGGTATCGGTATACCGAAAAAATACCGATACCGAAAAATACCGTTTTTTTCAAAATTTGACCGGTACGGTATCGGTATCGGTATACCGGAAAAAAATACCGCGGTATACCGTACCGTGCCGAACACTAGTAAATACCTATTTTAAAATTTAATTATTAAATAAAGGGTTGGAGACCAGTTCGGGTCCGAAAGACTGTCGGGCATCGAATTAAGGCCCAAAAAACTCGATAAAATGGGGGCCCTAATTAAAAAAAATTATTCATTAAATAATTATTTTTTATGGTGGGAACAGAGTTGTGTTAATTTTCTTTGATGAAACCTTTGTGAAAGTTGAAAAATCATGAAAATTTTTTAAGACCTATTATTTTTTGTTACACTGTATTCCTTTTAGTTATTATCGCTGCCTTCTTTTTTGTTAAAAAGGTCACAATCTAACTTTTATAATGTCAATGTGAATGAAAAAGTTAAAAAAATTATTAAAGTCTATTTATCGTCCATTATAGCTGCCTTTGTTGCTTTATTCTGAGCTTTTCTATAACGAATTCGTTTATTTCCAAACCAATTAGACACCTTTAAATTATTAAAAATTTAACTTCTTTTTGACTAAATTGTCATTGTTTTCACTTATTTTGGATAAGGCTTACTGAGTTGATTAATAAAATATAAATGAATAAAAATGATCCATCGTGCCCGTATCATAAGAGCAAGTTGTTAAAAGGTATCATAAGAACTTGGCCATTTAACCAGGTCATTAACCCCTACCCAGAGATATTTTCGTATTACAAGAGTGTCTGATATTTTTCTTCATGGTTAACCACGACCTCTCGGTAGGAGTTAAATGACCTGGTCATTTGACCATGAACCACAGGTTTTTCTTATGATACCAATTTTACCGCTCGGTAAGGGTTAAACAACCACGAACCACGTTCTTATGATACGGGTCTGGATAGTTCACTGGTGGCACATTCGATTGTGCTTCTGTCTGGGCTCATTAAACAATCATTCTTTGTATCCCTCATAAAATAATTTTTCCAAAGCAATTTCCAAATTAAAAATATACTTGTGCTAAAGTAATTCCACATTGTTCAGCTAAGGCTAATTTAGTTTGCTCATCTTAAAAAAATATTCTTCACTAATTTTATATTTATTGTTTTTAATACCTGGATAAGGCTTACTGAGATGATTAATAAAATAATTATTAAGAATGTTGGTGATTTTATCAGAGAAGTTTTGACGTTTTTTTCTGCATAATAAAAGGACAATAAAATTTAAAAACCAACCGTTTCCCTATACCCAAAGCTTTCAATAAAAGCAATTGACTACAAACTGCATCGCGCACCTCAGCGTCCCAAATATGTGTTGAAATATGAATACTCGATTCAAAAAAGTTTAGATCTGTGGAGGTAATTGGCCGAATTTCTGAGTGATGTAGAAGAAGTTGCCGTCCAATTTGGATACAATTTATGGTATTCTTAAAATTTTGAGAATTTTGGGTATTGCAGGCTTACGCGTCCAATCACACCTGTACACTTCGAATGAAGAATAAAGGGTTGATCTATGACGATAAGTACTCGTTTCTGTGTGTATGAACTTGTGGTTCTATATACTAGGGTTGGTCCCCGAGCCTTCGGGGTTGGAAAAGTCGGGGGTCGGGGTTTTCGGGGTTGACAAAGTCGGGGTCGGGGTCGGGGTTGCTCAAATTGTTCGGGGTCGGGGTCGGGGCTGAAAATAATGTCGGGGTTCGGGGTCGGGGGTCGGGGTTGAAGTGAAAATTTACAAAATCCAGCATTTTTATCCAAAATTACTGTACAAAATCAACATTTTTATTAAAAAATCAACTTAATCTTCATTATCTTCACTTTCTGTATCTAATTCGTGATAAGTTGAAGGCGCAAGAAGTACTTTATCCAAGTTATCCTTCATAATCCCCAAACCCACAAGGTAACTCTTACTCCACCTCTTATGTAAAGGGATTGAGGGGATATGAAGGCATATCAGAGGATTAAGATGGATATAATGGGATTTAGAAGGATTTGACGGGATATCGGGGAGTTGCAAGGATAACGGGAGAAATCCATCTATCCATCAATTTCTCCTAAAGCCTCTGTATCCCTTCATTGAGTCTAGCGCCGCAGGCAAAAATTTTGAGAATTTTGGAAGGTCAAGAGCCAGATTTCTTCCATTTTCGGCGCCGCAGGCAAAAATTTTTAGAATTTTGGAAGGCCAAGAGACAGATTTCTTCAATTTTCTGCGCCGCAGGCGAAAATTTTGGAAAATTCATGACTAGTTTAAAATTCTAATATTGTTTCATGTTTAAAATATAAAAAAAAATAAATTTGCAAATTTAAAATCAAGATCATAGTTTAAAAATATGTATTTTTGAGAAGAAAAATTTTCTCAGCCTTATTTCCATCCCTGGATTCGAACAACATTCCTATCAAAATAGCTAGATGGCTGAAGTCAGTTAACCTAACCACTCAACCATCGACCAACAAAAGGAAACAGGAGAAAATATAAATATTCCTTTCCCTTTTCCTTCATATATTTAGCATCAAAGTCCCGATCCCGTTCCGATCTCTAGTTAATTAATGCAGTTTGAGTCGGGGGCATAAAAATTTTTCGGGGTTCGGGGTCGTCGGGGTCGAACTTTCGGGGGTCGGGGTTTTCGGGGTTGGGAATGTCGGGGTCGGGGTCGGGGTTTTAGGTCAAAAAATGTCGGGGTTCGGGGTCGGGGTCGGGGTTAGTCGGGGTCGGGGACCAACCCTACTATATACCAAACCAAAACTCTGGGTCAGTAGAGCTTTCGATTCCCATAGATTTTGTGGTGCTAGAGTGTAGAACCAGGTACCATAGAACCAAGTAATTATGCCTCTCTCTAAAACAAATCCCCCCTAGAGTTGATCGAAAAAACAACCCCGGGGGTTATTTTAGATGAAATAGGGCATATACTTTATGTATTAATAACCTTCTCTCAAATAATTACCATCCTCAATTACTTACCCCTATCAGCCATGGAGTGAAATAATAATTACCCAAGGTAATTCAGAATTTAATTATATTTTCCGGAAACTTATTTTTAAAGATATACATTAGCTATATCGTTTTCGATATTGATGCTATTCTCAATAACTTCCCTCATACGTAATTTTAATTGTTTATCTTCAATTTCATCAGTCAAATCTTCCGATAAACAATAGTCTCTGCATTCTGCCTAATTAAAAATTTAAAATATTTTTATTAATTTTATTTATTTAAGACCATCTTTTGTTCCACAGAAGGAATTAATTTAACAGAATCTTCCACTTTATCCCCCCTCAATTTATTTTTAGCTCCATGTGATTGAACAATTAACAATTCCATAGCGGTAGCTAATTGTTTACATATTTCCCCTTAAATATTTTGTTTGTTTAAAATTATTCCATATCACCATGTTTTTGTTTTTCATCAGCTAGCACTGAACGTAATGCTCCAAAATATTCATTTGTTCGCCTTTAATAAAATAATTGCTAATAATTTGTTAATAAAATTATTTCCTGCATGTAACTTTAAATCGAAATTAAGTTCTTTTACTCTTGATTAGAGTTGAAGTTTTCAAGTCGGACCAAAAATCGAGGCATTTTTTCGGGCTTGTTTTTATCGAGTCGGGCCGGTGTGAGACTTTTTCGGGCCTGACTTTATCGAGTCAGACCTATTCTTGGCAATTCTATTGGCAACCCTACTTCTAATAATTAATATAAACTTGTTTTGGAAACTTAATTTAAATTACCAAACTTGTTTCTGGAAACTTAAGTTTACAAATTTAACTTCAATTAAACTCAAGTAGGATATCTGCGGATTTTTCCTCATTTTGTGGGTTTTTTGTGAGGTCGATGAGGATTATTTTTTAAAATGCTGATTTGCGAATTTTTGTGGTCTATTGAAGATTATGAGGAGATTTTGTGGATCTTTTTTTTTGTAGTTTTTGTTCCTGCGGCGTTGAAAAGAGAAATCTGGCTTCTTTGCCTTTCAAAATTCTCAAATATGAATTTTTAGCACCAAAAGCGACAAAAAATTCTTGCGAATATGACATAAAATGCTGATTTCTTAGCTCAAAATTGCGGATTTTTAAAAATTCGAGATCCTAACCCACATTAATTTAAAATGATATTATTATGTAATTCAAGTTTTATTGTTTTTAATTATAATTACATTTCATTCATCAATCCATCCACATTTTTTCTCAAAACGCTTGCAGATGCAGAACTATGTGAATTTGAACAATTTAGTTTTACTTGTTCAAGTAAATTTTTAAAGCAATCATTCGGGCATTTATTTAATAAATCCGTCTCATACATTTTTTAAACTTTTACAGATTAATATATTTTAATTTTAGGAAATAATTAAATGTGTTTCTTTTATCAATAAAAATATATTAATTATAAATTTATTATTTATTTTTTTTTCCAAAAAAATTTTTTTTCCTTATCTAAACAATAAATTTATTTTTAAAATGAATGACAGTTACTTTGATAGGCCAAAATTTTTTTGGTTAAATGTTTTTTATTTCGGAAGTAGGAAAATTCATCGAGACGGGCATATCGGAATATGAGAAAAATAACCTCTTGCTTGTTTACGTTGTTTCTAAAAAATGAAAACTCTTTTTTTCAATAGGATAATGATTAGTGTTTCACCGGAACCGAAATTTTGACCGGAACCGGAACCGGATCCAATTTAAGTTCCGGTTCCCGGAACCGGAACTTTTCTAAGTTCCGGCCCGGAACCGGAACCGGAACTTTAAAAAAAATTTTTTTGCTAGCAAATTTTTAAAAAATTTGCATTTTGATTTGGGTTGTAGGTTTCGCCAAATTTTTCGGTTAACCGAAACCGAACCGTCTAACCGAATAGAAACTTGGTTAACCAAAACCGAGCCGAAAATTTGTCGTCGTTAAGTGATATATGTGGATTAGAGAGTGGTGTATAAACGGATTTGTCGGATATAACTGTTTGATATCGGGCGATAAAAAGGTTCCGAATTGCAAGAAAATCCCATATCTACCTACTCAATTTCTCGATATCACACCCAAATCCACGATATTACCTATGACCGTTTGAAATCATGATATAATCAAAATCCAAATTAATCCATCCAAATCCTCCGATATAACATTCAACTTCTTTTTAAGTGCCGCAGGCGAAAAATTTTGAGAATCTGTGAGGACAATAAGCCAAATTTCTTCCCTTTTCAGCGCCGCAGGCGAAATTTTTGAAAATTTATGAAGGCCATAAGCAAAAAAATTCACTATTTATAAGTCAAACTAAAAATTTTAAGAAATTTAGAGGGCCAAAAAACCACAATTACTCCATGTAAAAATAAAATAATTTTAAAAACAAAATTATAAACTTATAAAATAAGTTTTTAAGGAAAGAAAAACATGCAGATTAATTGTCCTAAGCCTCGGAAGCGAACCCATCTTTAAATCATTCACGCCAAGGGTGAAGTATAACACCTTAACCACTCGGCCACCCGCTTATATTAGGTCAATTGACAGAAAATAAGCATATTTCTTTCGATTTTTTTAATACACAAGCATGAGAGTACGAGTAGTTTATTAATTTTTCTAAAAAAATCAATCTTTAGGGGTGTAAAAAAGTTCCGGTTTGCCCGGAACCGATTTGAAAACCGGAGCCGGAACCGGAACCGGAACCAATTTGAGTTCCGGTTCCCGGAACCGGAACCGGAACCAAAAAAACACCGGAACTTTCCGGAACCGGAACTTCCGGTGAAACTCTAATAATGATCTATACAGGACAAATTCGTAGGGCGACTGTTCGTATATTGAGATATCCCCAGGATGTCGGAGGATCAAAGCCTGGAACCCTGCCCTGGATTAAACTTTTACCTCGTTCTTACTATTCTATAATTCTCATATTTCCGGATAAGTAAGTCTTCGCACTTAAATTATAGTAAACTTTAATTACTTAAGTCTAAAAGATTTCCGGAAACTTTAGTTAGGTATATCACTATCTTCAATTCTTTTATAAATTAATTTCACTCAAGTTTCCTTATTTATATTTCCATTAACAATATATTTAACATCATCCTTCCCCAATATAATAAATTTTTCTGTATCTTCATTTTCTTTAATTTCCACCCCATCTTCAATGTCCAATGAAAATTTCTTTTCTTCAACCCGATATTCATTTGATCTTCTTTTCCAAGTATAAAATTTACTGCAGAGGATAAGTATAATTAAAAGGAGAATGTTAGCGGCAACGGAAGCCATTACCACAAAAAATGTTTTGCTCGTTTTGAGATTATTCCAATTGAAGGAATTATAGGAAGTAGTGCTTAAACTGAATATTTATATTTTTTTATTTTTGTTTTTGTCTTGCTAATTGCTTTTTGTGTTTTATAATTTTTAATTACACCAAATAGACTAGGGAGTACTTTTTTAACGGAGGGAGTATCGTATCAGGCCTGTCTCTAGTTAAAACTAGTTTCGTAAAACCTGAAATATCTCCACAAAATTTAATGCCATTTGGCAATGAATAATTTAATAAACTAATAAATGTTGCCTTCTTGGTTGGTTTATTTTTAATTTTGAATTTACTCAATCAAGAAAATTATTTTTCAAGCATAATATAATATTTAAGCATAATACAAATAATTGCCCCACTTCTATTAATTACCCCATCCAGCGATAGATTGAAGCAATATTACCCCCTCTCCCCAATCAAATGCCTTAAAACACGTTCAAATTTCAAACCTCATATAATTACCCTCCCTCGATTAATTACACCCTCCAACGGAAAGTCGAAACAATAATTATTACTCAGGGTAGTTAATAAAAGTTTTACGGTAGGCATTAAAAATTAAATAATTTAAGTACCGTAAATATTTTAACAGAAGCTTATCTCTAATAGAAGCCCATGCCCTATTAGAAGCCCATCCAATGAGGATTATTGAAAAATAGAAGCCCAGTTCCATTAGGATATTTATGTTATTTTTTAATTTTTTTCCAAAAAATTAAAAATTAATTAAACAAACTTTTTGCTTCGATTAAAATGTGACGTGTACGAGTAATTTCTTGATACAGTTAAATTGCTAATACTTGTTAAATTTGTTGTTGTTTCCATTAATTTATTTTTTCTTTTAATATTTTCAGTTTTATTTTTATTCAATTTAGTCTGATTTAAATTATTTTTTATAGTCCTATTTTCAATTTTTTCTTCAATTAAATTGTCCAAAGTTTTGTTTGAACGACTTATTTTATCTTCTTTAATTTGTTTTAATATTTTTTGATCAACTTTTGGAATTTTTATTATTTGTTCTATTTGATATCCACGTTCTCTCAATAAATCTAATAAATTATTTTTGCCAATGAAATGATCTGAAAAAATATTTTTTTTGAAAAGAAATAATCTCTCTAATAAACAGGCCCCCCAGGGCGACTCTCTCTAATAGAGAGAGTCGCACTATTAGGAAAAATACGATAAATGAACACATACCAACACTAAAGGTAAACATAAAAGTTTTGTTTGGCGTTTTACTAATCAACTGATCAATTTGATTAGCCCATAGTTTATTCCGTAGTTGCACCAAATCTTTATTGACAATATTCTCAATCTGATAAATTAAGTAATTTTTAGATTAGTTTTTTAAATTTTTTTAAATTAAAACTATAATCCAGGAACGTAACTACTTATAGTATTAAGGGAAAATTTCCAGAAAGTAACTAGCAGAAGATTAAATATTTTTCCTAGACAAAAATTAGAAGCTCGGAATATTTCTGATTAGGGCCGACGTTCGAGTCATTTTTATCAGGCCGGCCTGAGCGAGTCTTTTTCAGGCTTTATTTTTATCGGCCCACAACACTAGTTCTAATAATTATTTTTAATTTTCCATTAAAAATTATTTAAATATAGGTAATTGAATGCCTTAATTAAATCGGGCCCAATAAATTCTTTCTTGGCTACATTCAACATTTGTTTTCCTTCTTCACTATTTAATAACCCGCATTTGTAAAGTTGAATACGTGTTGAGGCAATGTTTGGCTGTTTTGTATTTATATCTTGTACTTTTCCCAACACCTTTAGCATTACTTGTAAAGCATTGGAAAGCTACAAATTTCTAGCAATTTTTGAGTTTAAATAAAATTCATTTTAAATTACAATTTAGCCTCTTTACTATTTTAGATACCCCTAAAGAAATCTAATCTAGAATAGCAAACTTAAAGATTAGCAAGATGTGCCGGTTCGGGGGCTATCAGGATTAAGTAGATGCCATCTTTTGCTAATTACTGTAAAGGATTCGGTCATTCTATCTTAATGTGTGGCCAACCATCTAGAAAAAATCCCTATTTTTAAGTAGGTTTCGATATTACTGGACGGGGGCTGAGTTTACGAGGAAGATCGTGTTCGGGGAAGAGGGCAGGACGGCCCTATCTTAAAGTGAAGTCTATCTAATATAGAGGAATTGAAGTAGAGTCTATTAGTTATCTATTTACTACATCATTTTTTCCAATAGAGGGT